CTTTGCTACTTTGACTATGATACTCTCAACCCATCACTTTATCTTCAGCTCATTGTGTCTTTCTTCTACCCTGGGCTTCTTTCTTTTTGACCTTCTTTTAGCTGCCAATTCCTCAAGACATTGATTCACTCAAGAAGCATCATTTTCCCTCTAACCTGATGTCTTCTCCCTGCTAGCTTCAGCTTCAGTGCCAAACCCTTGATTTTTAGTCTGTGCTTTCCAGTTAAATTCGATATATAAAGGAACAGAGGTAATTAATCTGGGTGGCTTGGATAAGGGGACACTGTTTTCACTTAGGATACCTAATGAGGTGCTGGTTAGTTTAGCATAAATGGCATGCACAAAGACTTGGAAGTAGGGGAGGGAATGAAGATTGAGTTGTTGGAATTGGAGACAGGAGAGATAAAGCAATGGATTATGATTTTAAGAACTGGGGTAGAAGTCTATACATAGGATAGTACAAGGTCCTCAATTTAAGTACAGGGTCAAATTGAGTGTCTGGAAGTTCCCCCAGGACCTTGCTCCTGCTACCTGCCTCCAGTTGACAGAGAGGCATAAAGATGGTCTGGACCCGGTGTTAAGCCACTCTCATTCATATTTCATTGGCATGAGCTAGTCATTGGAATTCTTTTAACCGCAAGACAGGCTGGGAGAGGTCGATTATTGGTGGCAGCTAAATCCTTAGAGAAAACTTTCTAGGGAGTGGTCACATCCACAGTTGTGCAGGTATGCTTGATCCCAGCTCATCCAAAGTGTCTGATGATGGTTGCCAGGGAGGTCAGTGGGTAGACAGACAGCTCAATGACCAGGGCAGCACTGGTCAGTCCAAGGTATTTTAGGCAGTCTTTTGGGGTGTAAGACTGTCTTTCAAAATGAGACTTGACGGGGGCATCTGGTGGCTTAGTCAATTAAGGGTCCGACTTCAGCTCAGGTCGTGATCTCATAGTCCATGAGTTTGAGCCCTGCATCGGGCTCTGTGCTGACAGCTCGGGGCCTGGAGCCTGCTTCAGATTCTATGTCTCCCTCTCTCTCTGCCCCTCCCCCTCCCATGCTCACGTGCACACACACACACACACACTCTCTCTCTCTCTCTCAAAACATTAAAAAAAATTTTTTTAAATATTTTCATTTATTTCTAGGAAAGAGAGAGAGAGACAGCGTGAGCAGGGGAGGGTCAGAGAGAGAGGGAGACACAGAGTCCGAAATAGGCTCCAGGCTCTGAGCTGGTAGTCAGCACAGAGACCGACGCGGGGCTCGAACCCACGAACCGTGAGCTCATGACCTAAGCGAAAGTCGGACGCTTAACCGACTAAGCCACCCAGGCGCCCCTAAAAAAAATTTTTTTTAAGTGAGATTTGACAATTTCATGTTTAGTCTATAGGAAAAGGTGGATTTCAAGTAGAGAATTGTCAAGAACTGTGAAGGACCTGAGATTTTCCTTGCAAGCTAACAAGTTAGCTTATCACAAATTCATGGAGGCTGACAGGCACATGAGGTGCCTAGGTCAAAGATAATGGACTATGTAATTCACAGTAATAGCAATGGCCAGAGGGGCAGCGCTTTCTTTTACCAGTTCCCCAAGGCCAGTTCCCAGGAGGTGACACAAAAGGGAAGGAGTGGCGCATGCTCATGTGATGGCCTGTGTTACAAGAAAGGAGCCCCAAGCTTAGGGAAACTGAATCCTGTATCATGGGCAATAAGCATGCTTGCTCCTGTTCCGGGAGGTGACACATCTCTGTCTTCCAAAGCTGGAAGCAATGTGCTCTTTGTCCTACGGACAGTATCTCTACCTTCAAAGGCTATTCACTTTGCAAACACCTTTGAAAAGATAATCTAGAACAAAGGCAGTCAGTGCCTCTGCTTGCAAGATGTGCAGAAATGTGGGAGATATTTGGAGAATCGTCTTCCAGGAAAGATGTTCCTCTTTAGCCAGAAGGAGTGTTTTTATTTTTTTATTTTTTTATTTTTTTTAAAAAAAAATTTTTTTTTTTAATGTTTTATTTATTTCTAGGAGAGAGAGAGACAGCGTGAGCAAGGGAGGGTCAGAGAGAGAGGGAGTCACAGACTGAAACAGGCTCCAGGCTCTGAGCTGGCAGTCAGCACAGGGCCCGACGCGGGGCTCGAACCCACGAACCGCGAGATCATGACCTAAGCGAAAGTCGGCCGCTTAACCGACTAAGCCACCCAGGCGCCCCTGAAGGAGTGTTTTTTAGATAGCAGCTTCCTTTACTGAATCCTTCTGCTCCAGACTCCTAGCTATTGGCTGGCCCTGGGGCTCAGTTCTCAGAGCTCTTCCTTATCTACCTTCCCTTCCTTGGGATCTCATTCAGCCTCTTATCTTTAAATCCATGTTGATGATCTCAAATTTCCAGTTCACGCTTCAACACCACCCCCACTCCCAGACTCAGATATCAAGTTGCCTATGTGGCATCTTCTCTTGGTTATGTGCTAGAGGTCTCAAGCATAACGCATTTTTTAGTCCCATCCTCCACGTGAAACCTGATCTTTACCCAGGGTAACCCCTCTTAGGAAAGAGTATCATACATTCAGTTGCTCAGGCCAAAACTCTTCCATATGCACACCAATATTCCACGAGCCTTATTCTGTTTTCAAATTATAGCCTGTCTCTGACCACCACTGTCCTCCTACATCATCAACATCCTAGTCTCAATCACCTCGTCTCTGTCCTAAACAACTACCATAAATTTCTAATCAGCCTCTTGCCTTCTAATCTTGTCCCATACATTATAACCTCCATGGCAGCCAGAGTAATTATTTTTAAATGCAAATCAAATAATATTATTCTGCTTTCGACCTTCCAGTGACATTCCAAACACATTTAGAATAAAGTTCAAGGTAAAGACGGCATGCACTCTGGCCTCTGCCTCTAAACTTGACCTCATTTGCTACCCTTCCCATCCATTTCTGCCTTCACTGTCTTTGAAAATGCCGAGCATGAGGCTGTTTCAGGGCTCTGCTTTGCTGCCTGAGTCAGTTAGGGCTCTGTCAGATGTTGGCTGAGCAGAGAACTCTTCCCTGACTATCCTAAATAAAATGACATACCCTCTCTACCCCTCTTTCCTTTTACCCAGCTTTATCATTTTTATTCAACTTTCTTATTGCCTGATTTAATAAAAAAAATTTTTTTTAATGTTTTATTTATTTCTAGGAGAGAGAGAGAGAGACAGTGTGAGCAGGGGAGGGTCAGAGAGAGAGAGAGTCACAGGCTCTGAAACAGCCTCCAGGCTCTGAGCTGGCAGTCAGCACAGAGCCCGACGCGGGGCTCGAACCCACGAACCGTGAGATCATGACCTAAGAGAAAGTCGGACGCTTAACCGACTAAGCCACCCAGGCGCCCCACTTATTGCCTGATTTTAAGAAGCAGCTTAGACTATATGCTTCATGAGTCAAGCACTTGGTTTCATTCACTGACATATCCTCTGCTTCTAAACAATATCTGGCACAGAGTAAATGTTCAATAAATATTTGTTGAATGAATGAATGAATGAATGAATGAATGACAGCTAACACTAAGTACAAATATGGAGACAATATCAGGGCACAGATATTTTGTGCCTCAATCTTTCTACTTTAAGCTTTATAAATCAACTGATTGCATACAACTGTATTTTTCTCCCAAAAGGCATGTCTTTCAGCCCTTTAATAATTCTGGTTTCTCTCTACAGGATTCTTGCCATGTTCTTTCATGTTCTTGTGTATGATGGTGTTCAAAATTGAACACAGCCTTCCAAGAAGAACCTGAGCAGTCTATAATTAGCTTTTCCCCTCTCCACAGAATTCACATGCTTGTCTAGAAATACACCTTTAAAGGAAAATTTTCCAGGACATAGGCCCAGCCACAAAGAATCCTGTCCAAGGTCAGAGAGTTTAGACAGTAACAAAGTGAATACTTGATTCTTACCAGTTGCAGCTTTTACAAATCCCCAAACACTCTCCTGAATACGTTGGGAAAATATGTTATCAACCTCATGAATTTAGCCATAGATTGTATATATTTTAAATTGGTCACTCTTTATTTTAACAAGTAAATACCTGCTATGTGCTAAGTGGTGAGTAAGAGGCTGGGACAGAAAGAAGAGCCCTTGGTCCCTATCCAGGAGGATGCTGAATCCTAGGCACCACCATTTTGTGTCCATTGTTGTTGTGAAACTGTCTAATCTGGGTCTAATTTCATTTTCATACATTATATCTATTTCCAATAGCACTTTTTAATTGAGAATCCTATACTGATGGGGCTCCTGGGTGGCTAAGTTGGTTAAGCATTTGATTCTGACTTCATCTCAGGTCATGATCTTACAGATTGAGTTTGAGCCCTGGATCAGGCCCTGTGCTGACAGCATGGAGCCTGCTTGGGATTCCCTCTCTCTCGTCTCTCTCTGCCAATCCCCCACTTGTGCTCTCTCTCTCTCTGTGTCTCTTTCAAAATAAATAAACTTAAAAAAAAAAAGAATTCTATTCTCATGAAAAAATATCTTACATCCAATTTGGAAAAACAAAGGAGCAGTGTTTTGCTTTCCCTAGCCTGCTTCCTATTTTGATTGTAAAATGATTTTTATTTTTCAGAGTTCATTTCAATTTTCTGCAAAGGATTTAACAATGGAATACAAAAATCTCAGGTATCTGCCTTTAGCTTATTTTTAAAACCCTTCTTACATATAAGTTATATCCTTGTATTTATCATCTTTACTGTTGCCATTAAATTAAAACTATTTTAGGAACAACTTTAGATTCTATTTCCTTTGCTCTTTTGACATTTCATTGATCACTATTTCACTAAAGATATTAACTTTCTCTAGGGTGCAGAGAGACTAAGAGAATTTATACAAAAATTTCTACTGAATGAATTTCCCCACCTTCTTGGTGATTGTACACCTGCCTTCCTTATAAGGAGAACAAGGAAGTAAATCATGTTGAAGTTGCTTTTAAACACAGCTTTCCTTCTTTACCTGTCCAGGTAGCCTGTTTTCATTTCAATCTTAATGAAAACTTTTAAATTTACACCTCAAGTTTCTTTTCAAAGCAGCGTAAGTAGTATTTAAAACTCTACACCTCAAGAAAAGAAAGACTTTAACGATGTTCAGCATTGGTCTTGTAACGTTGAAGGTAATTCATTTTTTAATCTGTCTGCACAGCGAGAACTGAGACGAATGGGGATTGAACTGCTTTGCCTGTTCTTTCTATTTCTAGGAAGGAACGATCACGTACAAGGTAAGACCTAAGCTCTCCGATATATTGCTTTCGCGGTATGCTTGACAAACCTGTCATTTGGTTCAGAAACTAGATCTGAAGTCATTTTTTATTTGATCTGTTCACTTGCTCTTTTGCCACTGAAGGAACACTAACAAATTACAGGCAGAGGCAGGGCTGTTCCCACAGCAAATGCTCTAGGCTTCAGGTAAATAAATACAAAGGTTGCATGGGCATCTTAATGAGGAGAATTAAACAGCTTTTCTACACAATAGGGCTCCTTAATACCTCCCTGAGAACCATCTTTGTAACTTTTCTAGCTATTCTATTGTATAAGGTCTTCCACTTAAGAGCAATAATCTTGAAAAAGAAGAACTTATTTTAAGAATAAAAAAATAACACATTTAAGAGAGAAGCATTTTTTAATGGTTGCAAATAATTTCTAAAAATTAAAGTGGATGATAGTGAATGAGGCTAATAAATAGAACGAATGATTCTAAGTTTGTGAAAGCTAAGACATTTTTATATTTCAAGAAAATAAAAGAATGATCACTTTGGCTAAAAAACATATGTATTCTCAATGTGATGGATGTAGAATATGAACTTTTTGATGAGTTGCCAACATTTTAAGGACTGATCTTTGAAGACTAAAAATGACTTTAATGTTGCTTCATTCATGCATTTTAAGAGCCGTACTTCTTTCTCGTAAATGGAGTGGGTGAGAGTATGCTGAATCCCTTGTGTCTTGCTGGCTTTAAACACAGGTGGCTGTGCTATGGGAGGTGCAGAAACCTGTGAAGACTGCTTACTCATTGGACCTCAGTGTGCCTGGTGTTCTCAGGAGGTAAAACAAATAACCTCATCGTGTTTGTAAAAACTGTAGTTATACTCTCTTCAGATTCCATTGATAATTGTTGTGATAGTGTCCTGCTTTCTGTGGGGTATAGGAGCAAAACAAATCAGGAAAGAAAAATGTAAGCATTAGTAGATCACAGTGTCATTCATGTGATTACCTTCAGAAACAATTTGTGGAAGTAGTGAATGTCAAATCAATGTGAAAAATACCTAATTCGGGATCCTTTAGTAACCTGATCCCTCCTCTTACTTTAAAGTCGTTTCTAACTGGTTACATGTCAAATACCAAGGCTCTGAATAATCAGAGATCACGGAGATGATGTTTTCTAAAGTTAAACATACATTTGACTTCAATAACATGGTTGTACTCTGTCTGAGGGTCCATCTGGAACCACTGCCAGGTTCTAAGAGACGTCTTCTAGGTTTGGGGCAAATTTTACTGTTCACACAGTATCCAGTTCTTTTAAAAATTAAGCTTTCATGAGCTTGGTGACTCTGTACACAGTGATGACAAAGCCTGAAACAGACATTCCTTATCTGATCAAACGGAAAACTATAAAAAAGTAGAATAAGGGGATGGGGGCACATGTAACAAGGAATCCTAAGTCACTGCCTCCTGTGACCCCTTAGAGCCATCCATACAGGATTCCTGAGCTGCCTTAACTCTTCCTGATTTACAATAGTTCTCTACTGAATCTCATAAGGAGAATCTGAATACAAATCAAAGAATACAAACTGCGAGTTCAGCAAGAACTGAGTCGTATGCTCAAAAGGGAACAAACTTGAGTGCCTGGCTCAAGAGTAGGCTATAGTTATTAAATCTCACATTCCAAGTTGAATGTATACCATAGAGGAAGGCCTCACAGACACAGAGCACAAACCCAGCTTACTCCCTTACTACTGTTCTGACAGATGGAACATACATACACATGTGAGGGAGTTATACTTTTTTTAAACTCATATATCAAAAACAGTTTTGAAAATATACAAAGAGAGAAACCCACTTTTTTTTTTATGTTGAATCCCTGAAAAAGATAGTGTGAATTCCATGCCAGAGACCTGAAACAACAAATCAGTCTAACAATATGCTTACCTGTAGAATTTATTTAAATGCATTTTTAGCACTTGTTTAAGAGGGCTTCTTAAGTTACTCCTCATAGCTTTAGTGGTGGATGATACTGGTTAGCCAAATTATTGTCAGTTTTTAAAGCCAGAGTATTCTGAACACACTCTAACAGTAGAAGTAGATACATGAGTTGAGGCAACTAAAGCAAATAGTACATGAAGCTTCTGTTCAGAGCAAATTGAAAAAAACACATGCTACGGTTAACACCACCCCTGACACCTTGGCCAACACTGTGGTTACAGGGGCTAGCAGCGACATTGTGTTGAGAAGCATTCTGAGGCTTTGTCAAGCCACTGTTTGCCTTGAACATAGCAAGGGAAGTTACAGTGTTTGCCATACTTAGTCTAGGGCCTCAAATATGCACCAGGCCTGCCTGACAAATAATGAATTGCATTCCAAAAAATCAATTTCAAAAGAAATATAACTTTTCTAGTTGGTGAAATAGCTAGAGTGGAATTCTAGGAGATGAGGAAAACCATTTGAGTGTTGGTTTGCTTCTTTCCAAGCATGACAGTCAATGAACCTCAAGTTTGACTTTGCCTAGAGCTTCAGTGTGCTATAGGGTAAGACAGGTAATTATCTCTCAACTCCATTTGGGTCAACAATTGCAAGGTTGTAATGGCCATGTCTCTGCCTGGAAACATCATCTCACTGTCTCCTGTTACCATGTGGATCAGAAGGGACCTGGGAAACTCCTCAGTCCTAGATAGAAAAGTAGTCTTTTACACCATATTCTCTTTGCTTCCCTTCTCCACCTCCAAATCTTTGGAGACAAATTCTAAAAGACCTTGAACTGGAATACTTTCAGACACCAAGTTTACAGTCCCCAAGAGGTCAACTTTAGTGAAGGAAGGGCACAATAGAAGGGTAATGAGTGTATCCATAAATGAAACTAGAAGAGAGAGCTAGATAGGGAAATGTCATAATCTCTGTCCTTTCAGAACTGACAGGAAAGGTTCTTTTTGTCATCGGATTTGGTAATAGACACACAGAGAACTAAGACAGTCCAGGAGACTACAGGTCAACCCAAAGAGATATTTTTATGGAATGATATTAACTCTCTGACCCAACTGTTTCAAGAATCTGGTGATCATGGTACAGAAAAAGCTTTAAAGAAGTGAGCACTGAGGACAAAATAATAACACAAACAAATAAGCGACTGGTAGGGGAATTCAACTGTGTATAATTAAAAGGAGAATCCAATTTTACTCAGAACTTCACTGGCAGAATTCTCTGGTTATTCTGCTATAACTTAATTTTAGACCTACAATTAACATCAGGCACATGGGGGTATGATATACTGAGTATGGCAAGCTGCCTAACTAGCAAAACAAGCAAAAAAAATTTTTTTTGTCTTATAAAGAAATGGAGATTTGCCTTTTTAAAAAATCTTTATTGTTTTTTCTTCTTTTTTTAGAATTTCACCCATCCATCGGGAATTGGAGAAAGGTGTGATACCCCAGCAACTCTTTTAGCTAAAGGATGTCAACTAGCCTTCATCGAAAACCCTGTCTCCCAAGTAGATATACTTACAAATAAGCCTCTCAGTGTAGGCAGACAGAAAAATAGTTCTGACATTGTTCAGATTGCACCTCAGAGCTTGACTCTTAAATTGAGACCAGGTATGTTATGACTTACACGTGCTGATGCATGTGTAAATAAATGTAAATAATGTAAATTTACAGCTCATGTAAATAAATCTACCGTTGCATATGGTAATACCATTATTAAGCTAATAGATTGGGTACTATGTTACATATCATTGATTATTATGACTCAGATATCTCATTCTTAAGGAAATAGAGAATTGCTGGCCTAATACTTTTCTTCATTCACATTGGTCACTTGCATTCCAAATGCATTACTAAAATCAGCTTATCTAATAGTAAGCATTTGAATTACTCAAATGTTGTTAGGGCTTACCTCACATTTCTTCAAGTGTTGTAATGTAGCTTTAAACGCCTCTTTATTTTCTTCTCTCTTGCTAAAACCACATACAAAAAATTCAGCTTATCTTCCATCTAAATGGATGCTAGTTCTCCCAAGGAGATATAAAATATCCTAACTTTTACTTTCTTCAGTGGCTCTAAACTCACTGCTGAAAGATTTTTCATGGGCTCATTCACTTGTAAACTTGACCAGGTAGTTTCTGAAATCCTCAGTATCTTCGGCAAGTTCTTATTGAAATGAAATAGCCAGTTGGCCCAGTAAATGGCTATTCAGAAGTAAGTCTCAATGTATTTTTAAGGATTTGCATTTGTTGCGTGGGCTTTGCAGGCAGTGAACAAACCCTGCAAGTGCAAGTCCGCCAGACAGAGGATTACCCAGTGGACTTGTATTACCTCATGGACCTCTCGGCCTCCATGGATGATGACCTCAACACAATCAAAGAGCTGGGCTCCCTGCTTTCCAAGGAGATGTCTAAATTAACCAGCAACTTTAGACTGGGCTTCGGCTCTTTTGTGGAAAAACCCGTCTCCCCTTTTATGAAAACAACACCAGAAGAAATCACCAACCCTTGCAGGTAAGTAAATGATTCTCTGGCATCTTTGAACACTGATTTTCTGTGGAGATAGCCCTGCTCAGAGTGGTGCTTGCCAAGAGCTTGCTAACTCCCTGGCATTTCCCTCCGGTCGGGTTGGATCTCAGCAGCTCCCTCAGTTGCCTGGGCTTTTTGAAACTAAGGTGGCCTTGTCTTAATACCTGGTTCTAGTCTTGGGTTCTCTCAGCATCCTCACATCTGTCTTCCTGTGTAGCATCTTTTTTTTAGGACGTGAAAAATTTGGCTTTGTGTTCTGTAGACAAGGGAAGTGACTCTTTTGCTATAGGTTTCAGTAGCCTGTGTCCATCCACAACCCCTCAGAGACCTTCTATTCCCAATGGCCCCCACTTTCTAAGGCTATTTGACAGTAACCCACGCTTTCTCAGAGTATTTTTCTTCATGACAATGACTTCTGCCAAAATAACAATTTGTACAGCTTCCTCTGACATACTTTGGGAAATGTGGATTTCTCTTATTGCTTGGATTTCTCTTATTATTTACAGCCTTCACTGCTACCCAAGTCAGTAGGAAATTAAGCATTGTAGGCTCTATTATAATGTGCTATTAGCAGCTCTTAAAACCATCAAGTTTTTGATGGTCAAGGTCAAGTTGCATTGTGATGGCATACCTGTACAGTCAATGACATGTTCAAAATCAAATTATTTAATATCCTATTAAAAAGAGCTACCATTTGCTCTGTGCCAGACATTGTGCTAAAGGTTGCACATATATGACCTCATTCAATCTTCATAATAATAGCAGTTCAAAGCAGGTTTTATCATGCCTATACTCAGAGGAAGTAACAGAGGCTCTGAGAGGTTAGCAATTTCCCCAAGGGCACATGACTAATCCGTGATCTGTACCAAAATCTGTGTTGGTCCAAAACCAAGCCCCTTACTGCTATGGTCTAGTATATATGCAGTGACTTTCCAAAAGTATATTGACTTTTAATACTTTTATACACCCAAGGCATCAATCTCTAAAAGACAAGCACCTTTATAACATCATTTAAAAACATTTCAGTGTGATTCCCAACTAGAATCTGACATAGACAAAAATAATTTGACCATGAAAGGAACTCATCACTGATTCTGTTAGGAATTATGTTTGTTTGTGAGCACCAGAGATACTAGCTTAACAAGGGAGGGTTTTTTGGGGTGCCTGGGTGGCTCAGTCAGTTGGGCATCTGACTTTGGCTCAGGTCATGATTTCATGGTTTGTGAGTTCAATTCCCACGTCAGGCTCTGTGCTGACAGCTCAGAGCCTGGAGCCTGCTTCAGATTCTGTGTCCCCTCTCTCTCTTCCCCTTCCCCACTTGCACTCTGTCTCTCTCTGTCTCTCAAAAATGAATAAATGTTTAAAAAAAATTTTAAAGGGAGGGTTTTTTTTTTTTTCCTTTCTCAAATGAAGGGACTCTAGAGAAAGGCAATTCAGGGCTGGTGTGGCAACTCCACACAGCAGAGCTCTGAGCCTTTTCTGCTTTCCACTCTATCATCACTGGCTCTTAGGTTTTATCTTCAAGGCCCAGGGAGTTTTCTCTGATATAACTCATCATTTCTTCATCCCAGGCAGTAAAGAAAGAGGAAAAGAAGGGCAGATCCATAAAAGGCATTGTCTTTCTTCCTATCTTTTATTTCAACATATAATTGACAAGCACTAAGATGCATACATCAGCTTGATGAGTTTTGACAATTGAATATACCAATGTAATTACACCTAAAACATGATGTAGAACATATCTATCACCTCAGAAAGTTTCTTTGTGCCACACTATAGTCAGTTCTATTCACTCAGAGGTAACTACTTTCTGATTTCCATAATTTAGCTTGGTTTTGCCTATTACTGGATTTCATATAAATAAAATAATATAGTATATACCTCTATTCCTGGCTTCTTTTGTCCAATATAATGTTTCTGAGATTCAGTCATGATTTTATGTTTATCAGCTGTTTGTTCCTTTTTGTTTTAAGTAATAGTCCGTTGTATGGATTTGCTACACTTTGCTTATTCATTCTTTCCTTGATGGATATTTGGATTGTTTCCCATTTTTTGCCTATTGTGAAAAATGCTGCTTTGATCACTTGCCTATAACTCTTTGTGTGCACGTATGTTTTTATTTCTCTTCGATAGATACCTAGAATTGGTTACTGAATTGTACAACTGTAGTTTTAATTTTTAAAGAACCTATCAGGTTATTTTCCAAAGTAGATTTGCCATTTTGCATTTCCATCAGCATTGTGTTCCAATCATTCCAGATCCTTGATAACACTTAGTATTGTCAGTCTTTCTAATTTTAGCCATTCTAATAGCTATGTATACTGTTGTAACTTTGAGTTGCATTTCCCTGTAACAAAAGATGTTGAGCATTTTTCATGTGTTTTCCTTCCATTCTCATATCTTATTTTGTGAATTATTTTTTCAAATTTTTTGCCCAGTTTTAAACATTAGATTTTCTTTTTAAAATTATGTTATGTAAGTTCCTTGTATATTGTGGATAAAAGTTCTTTGTCAAATATATGTTTTACAAATATTTCTTCCCCACTTGTGGGTTGTATTTTTATTTTTCTAGCAATGCCTCTGGCCAAACAAGTTTCTAATTTTGTTGGAGTCCCATTTATCAATTTTTAATTTTATGGCTAGGTGTGTTTTTTGTTCTAAAATATCTTTACCTTAGCAAATATCCAAAATATTCTTCCTATATTTCTTCTAGAAACTTTATGGTTGAAGCTCTTGCTTTTAGGTCTATGAACTCAAATTAGTTTTTGCATTGGAATGAGGAAAAGGCTTAGGTTCATCTTTTGTTTTCATGCAAATACCCCATTGCTCCAGCACTATTTGTTAATCAAGATTTTCCTTTCCCCATTGAATTACCTTTATATCTTTGTTAATAAGTATTGACTATATATGTATGAATGTAATTCTGGACACTCCAGTGTTTTCCTCTGATCTGTTGAATATAACCATGTAACCACCAATGCCTTAAAGTTTTTATTACTGCAACTTTATAAAAAGTCCTAAAATCAGGAGCATAAATCCTCCAATTTTGTTCCTCTTTTGTTTTGGTCTTCTAGATCCTTTGCATTTCCACAGAAATTTTAGAATCACATTGTCGATTTCTTCAAAAAATATTCTGAGATTTTTATTGGAATTGCATTGAAATGATAGGTCAGTTTAAGGAGAATGGACATCTTAAAAGTACCGAATGTTTCGATTATTGCATATGACATATATTTTCATTCATTTAGTTCTTGTCTTCTTTCTCTCAGCAATGGTTTGTCATTTTCAGGGTAGATATCCTACACATGCTTTGTTTGATTTACTCCTAGGTGCTTTTTAAAACGCTATTGCTAATAGTGTTTTCTACATGTTTGTTGATAACATATAGAAATGCAATTTATTTTGCATATTCACATTGCATGCTGCAGCCTTGATAAATTGTCTCATTTGTTCTAGTCCGATTTTTTATAGATTCCTTAGAACTTTTTATGTACATGACTATGTCATTTATAACAACTTCTTCCTCTTCCAATAATTATGCCTTTTCTTTCTTTTCTTGCCTTATTGTACTGGTTAGGGTCATTAATACTATTTTAAATAGAAGCGGAGAGAGTTGCCACTTATCTTGCTTATGATCTTAAGAGGAAATCTTCAATGTTTCACCATTGGTTATATTATTAGCTACTTTTTTTTTTATTCCTTTTATCAGATCAAGAATGTTCTTTTCTATTCCTTATTTGGTAAATTTTTTAAAAATCATAAATGGATGACAAATTTTATTTCCTTGATTTAAGGAGTTCTGTCAGAAATTTTCCCCAACTCCTTATACTTTCATCTCACTGGCCAGGACTTTGTTACATGGCCATGTCTAGCTGCAAAGGAAGCGTATTGCTACCCCAAATGAAACCAGGTTTCTGGAAGTAGGGAAGAACAGCAGTTCTGGCAACACTGAACAAAGAGCTTTCTAGGGAATAGATTTATGCTGTATATTAAATAGTAAGATATGATTACTATTATCGATTGTTTAATTTACTTGTGAAGGGAAATGAACTTGGTTCTAACAGCCTCCCAAAGCATTTCTAATGCTCTGGCCCTTTCTTTAAAAAATAGAAAATGTTGTATTTGTTTAAAATTTGTATTTATTTAGTTATGTATGTATTTATTTAGATCTTTGGTATGTTATGCTTTGGCAGAAAGTCTAGTAGTGCAGTTTCATCTAGGATTACAAAGTCCTACCTCTGTCCCAGGGAGCTTAGTTAAAATCATTCTTTCTGTCACAGGCCAGATAAGATGTAGTAACATGAAGTACAATAATGACAATGGGAAACAATGAGTAAGGGATGTTACCAGAGAAAACAATTAAAATTAACAAACAGATGGTAGCCTATCACCTAACAATAAAACCCTGTCTTTAATGAGGTTCCTAGGAAAAAGAAAGCAGTTTGGCTTTTCATAGCTCTGACTGCATTTCATTCATGCATTCATTTATTCATTAATTCAGTCAACAAAATTTACTGTTCTCTAACTATGTACCAAGCATTGTGCTAGACATAGAGATATCTGGAAGAAAAAGATTTATACTCCGTCCTCAAAAAGCTGAAATTCTTTGGGGAGCAGACACACGGTACAGCATGGTGATTAAAAGCATGGGCTTTGCTGTCAGCCCTGCATTAGGTTCTGATTTGTCTACTCACTTATAACATCAATTTAGGCAAACATTTTCACTCTTAAAGCTTCAATTTGGAATACTGATCACACAGAGTGGTTGTAAAGATTGGATGAGGGAATGAAGCATCTGGTACTGGGCTTCACCGTGAAGCTCTCCATCAATGGCAGTTACTACCAACATCAATAGAGTGAAGTTGGTGGGGAGAGCAGAGCATTGCACAAGATGTGGTGAATGGAGTCCTAAAGGAAAATCACATATTTGATCTCTTGTAAGGTCAATATTTTCCAAAGGTGTTTCTTTTATTCTTATTTTCAAA